TATCTATCTATCTATCTATCTATCTATCTATCTATCTATCTATCTATCTATCATTTTTGTTTTCTAGTGGTTTTTTTAAACCTGGCAGATTATTCTATTTGAAAAGCAAATCTAGTACTATGTCATTATTTAGTAGGTTGGAGGAGGGAACAATTATCTTACATTAGTCAATTACTTCTTGATTTAATGCAAATTGGAAAAAAAAAATCATAATTGTGACCCTTTATCTAGCTTGCAGTACAAATGGCAGCAGAGTGAGACCTCTATGTTCTCTCCTCTTAACCAGTAGTGGCAGAGGTGGGATGTAAGCCACGCGAGATTTTTCTACCATACAGAGAGCTGCAGATCGAGGTTCAGTTTTTAATCCCTTTCATCCATCTTCAGTCCAGATGTTAAAAGGGTAAAGCTGACACCAGAACGCCTAACAAATTAAACGCCTATCGATTTACGCCCTGAGATTTGATACTGCAGTATGCTGATGTCTGCAGAGAGAAATAATCTGGGGGGAAAAAAACACAAGAACTGTCCTTTATTCCAAAAAATGCAGATAACAAATAGAAAACTTAAAATAAAGAGGTATTTCAAAATATATGGAGAAGGGCATTTGCCCTTTGGCACTAAGATACCTCAAAACTTTTTTTTACTTAACAGCTACACATCTCAATAGATTTTATCAGATATTATATGAGAGACAAAGTATTTCTAAATACTGGAGTAGAAAGAAAATTATCTACAATGTTGTGCATTTATGTTCAGCCTAAATCCACTTGATTTTTGTTTATTACTGAACAACCACCATGACAAAGAAGAAGACCATTAACCAAAGAACAAACCAAGAGCTTCATAATTTTGGATAAGCTGCAGATATGGACAGCTCAGGTGGTAGATTACTAGTTGTACACTTCACAAATCTGATGTGGGCATTATGTAAGAGTGGCAAGAAGAAAGCCATAAGCAGTCCTATTAGTGGACAGAAGAGCATTTGGAAAATCTCTCTGGTCAGGTGAGATAGGAGACTTTTATGAAGGTTCACCTACCATAGGGAAAATATTAGAATGGACCTTTTAAAGTCTACACCTGACTATATCGAGAAACTGTCTTAAGTTGTAAAAACGGATGCTCATAGGTGCTCTCCATCCAATCTAAGATAACTTGAGCTTTCTCCCAGGAAACAGGCAAAATGTCAGCCTATATGCACAAACCTGGGGGCGCACAACACTTAAAATATTTGAAAACCGCAACAAAGCATTAATGTTTCTGGTTGTAAAATAAATGTGTAGAGGTTAAGGTATTTTTAATACCCCTAGGAGTTTCCCCATCTACAGCTTTGAATGGATTCACTCTTTCAGAGGTTGTTTAAAGATCCCCAGCTTGAGATGTTTTTCAGTGTCTGTGATGTACTGTTCAGCTCCAGAATAGGAGCTTAGAAGCATCTGACCTTTACTTTTAATTATCCACTTGTAATGTTGGATAACTGCGCTACTGTGCTGATCATCGCAAAGTTTCCAAACCTTTGAATTCGAGGTTTCATTCTGCTCGCACAGTAGGAATATGAGAATATTTAGGATTTGTGTTTTGATTCTGTAATTTTGCAGAGCTCTGTGCTTTAGTACACAGTAAACTGCCTCTTGGATGCTCGTTCACTTTTATATCTCTATTCTTCATATTGCTGCCGATGCATTAGAAACCACTTTCTTACCATTTTATTAGATTACCTTTTCTTCTTTTTGTATTGTATCCAGCCATGCTGCAAAAACAATTCCTCTCAAATAGGTAATGAAATCAAAAGTAAATCAATAGCTACAATTTTAGAGATTATAAAGTGTTGGGTCTCAACAAAGCACCACAGCAGAAGATAATTTAAGTGAAAAGTGCATAAAACATGACTTTTCCTCACTGTTTGAATATATTTTATGGTGGTTTTATTTATTTTTTATCGAGCTCTTCCTGGTTATGTTTCTTGTTTTTCTTTTCTTCATCTCCTTAAAACCCTTCAAAGAAAAGCCTTTACACAACTTCAATTAATCAATATTTGGATGCTAGTTTAACTTTAGTGACAGTTCACACAGAATGAACCCGTAGGGTGAAAATTCAAATACCTTCCCAAAAGTTTATTGATAGGAAGTAGAGGAACTTCTTGAACAGGTTGAAACAATTGCCAACTACGTAGTGTTACAGGAAATCAAGTGGTTCTGAAGAACAAATTAAAGCAGCAAGTGGAGAAGAAAAAGAGAATAATACTTAAAAATACCATGTCTGTGTCTGAATCTATATATCCAACTTTAAATATATATTTAGATGTGTATATATACATAAATAGGCTATTGCTTAGTTCCAAAATAATACATTTTACCATGTCAAATTAATAACCGATGCATCTCTCCCTCCTGCTTTCTCTTCTGCTTCAGCTCTGAACTGAGCTTTTGGAGAGCATAGCTGAAGATTAATGAGGGTTTCAGGGGAGTGCAGGAGCAGCGCAACCAGTTTGTGCCATAATTACAGGGAGACGCTTTGATATGAAAGCCTAATTAGCAGGGCTGCCGAGGTGCTGTTGTGTTAATTGCTGAATGGCTGCTTTTCTCTCTGATGTGCACACTACTGGACAGGTCTTGGATGGGTTTTGCCGTGGGGTGTTGAAATCTCAGTGCTAACTGTAGAGTGGAGAGCAACAGATTGAAACTAACAAATGAGAAGTTTTTTTTGTTGTTGTTGTTTTGATTGTTTTTGTAATTATGTATATACTACTAGTATGTAGAGAAAATAATTCACATCCCTCGTGTTTAGGGAATATAGATTAATTTAAGCCTCTGTTAAATCTTTTGAGACCCAAGCAGCGTCTTTCCAATTGCCTTCATCCAGCCTCCATGGTAACCTAAAGATATACTGGATAGTATATATATATATATATATATATATATATATATATATATATATATATATATATATATATACATTTAAAGCTTTTAAATTTGTAGAGGTCTAAATACGTTGTTACTGCAATGTAAACACATACCTTGGCAGACTAACTCTGTTACTGTGTGAATAGAAAACAGGTAGAAAGTATTACAAGTTTGGAGGTGAAATCCAATAAACAAAAGGAAAGGATATAAACCAAGGAGCAGAATGAAATAAAATCCGTTTAAACCAACACTGGCAAATCATTGTCACATAATGTTTTTTTTTTTTTTTTCTATTAAAAGGACCCACATGCCTGAAACAGACACTGTCGGAGTACTTTCTGCTCAATTTTGTCTATTAATAAGGTAAAATGCAGATTTGCAAAGTCTATGCAAAATGTCGAGAGAGACGAGGTGTTTGAAGTTGCATTCTAACATTTTTCTTCCTCTGCTCCAGAAACCTCGTCATTTTCAGAATACTGTAAAAGAAGTTTTGTGGAGCCAAAGAGGCCAAAGGCAAGTGACTCATTCAACAAGAATGTTTTTTTAGCTTGGCTCATGGCTTCTCCATATATCTCTCCTCCCTCTTACTGTAACATCACAAGATATTCATGGTTTCTCAAGCATTTACGTGTTGACAAACACCCTGGTGTTAAATCTTCCCATCTACAGCTGAGGAACTGTGCGAAAGCTCGCTCACTGCCAATCGGTTAATCTTTTACAGCTTCCCTGGGATCACTCTGTCAGGCGGGGTGCATTAGTCTAAATGTATTTCCTCTCTTTTTCTATTATTGTATGGTCACATCGTCCCAAGTAAGATTTACGTATGCATCAGGGAGACTTTGTAGCTTAATGTGTGCCAGGTTGCAATGCCAAAGCCATCTTTCATGATGTACCATTTGAGTCGTGACGCCACTGTTATTTTAAACAATTGCCCAGAAAGAACAAAAGCTTTCAGTGTGTGGTTATATAGATAACAGTTGGCAGTAGATGTTTTTGAGATCATTTCTTAGACAAAAAGTGTTTAGGGTTTGAAGTTAGCCTCACATTCTATCGATAATTAACAGTCGACATGACAGCTTCCTCCTACGTACTAGATAACAATGTCTAT